ACACACACACACGCACACACACGCGCACACACACACACACACACATACACACACCCACACACACGCACACACACACACACACACACACACACACACACACACACACACACGCACACACACACGCACACACCCATACACACATAAACAACAGTATGCACTTAAAACTGCAACAAAATCCAATGTAAATCATGCAATAAATCATACATAGAGGATACGGGCCGGGCATTTCACATCCAAAGCAGAGCAGGAAATTCTCAAATCCGCCATATCAGAACACTGTAAAAAAATTAAGCACATTCTGGATTGGGACGGGGCTCGGGTCATTAGATTGGAAAACAACAAGTTCAAACGCTGAATCAGGTTGGACAGTGAAATGACGGAGCATTACTCCTTTCACACACCTGGGACAAAGTCCTCCAGGGAACACCGGGCAATGGTCAGTCTGAGCGACCTGCCAGGTCCATCAGGCTGACCACGCCTACAGGAAGTAACAACAGCTGACCACGCCTACAAGAAGTAATAAGGCCTGACTGATATGGATTATTTTGTGGTCAGTCAGGAGTTGGAGGTGTCGATAGCCGATATAAAAGGCGATCTACCGATATATATTCAGTGTAATCTTCAATTGATTATAAATCTTAGCTCTGGATTTTAAGTTGGGTTTATTTAGGCGACATTTATTGTTACTTTGCCTTTTTACATCATATTTAAAGACAGTAGGTTGACCTAATGACATTTTTGCATCACATTCTAACCAGTAAAAAAAGTAAAAACTGCCACTATCAGCCTTTAGCAGTAAACGTGTGCGCACCTCGGTAATTAAGTGTGTAAATGTTGATCATTCACACCTTTATTCACAGCTCATTTACATATCAATACAGGTTCAGTCAAATGTACAGCTGCTATAGTCACTTTACACTAGGCCAATGTAAGAAAACAGACTACTGCAGCTAAGAGCTATACAAGGAGAAAGAACCAAAAGTAACTCTAAAAAAAACACATTTGTAACACTCACCGCTCACACAGGCTCCTCTCAGATCACAAGTCTGCACTAATAAGTTTGATAAAAACAAGTTGTAGTTTTGTTGCTGGACTAAACTGCGCTGAAATGTATTCATAATCTGTCAGTATTGTTTAAAGCAGAGCCTCAGTGTTGTGCACATGGATCTATGCCTGTGCACGGGTGTAAATAAGAGCATGTGTGTGACATGACTCTGGGGGTGTGTTCAGAGACAGTACGTTGTCGCAGATACAGACAAATTACTCTGCAGATAATTACGGTGGAGCCACATATTAGCACATTTATCTGTCTGTAAATTGGATTAAATGGGCTTAATATAGAGTGTGTAAGCTTTATAACGAGGTATAACCTGCCCACGTGAACTATCAGCCCAGATCAGCAAGATTTAGCCGATATGTCTCCAAGTGCCCATATCTGCCAACTGATATATCAGGTCCTAGTAACAACAACTGATATAGGACACGTCACCACCAACACCGGGGACAGTTCTGAAGATGCAGCAGCAGCCGAAACATGTCAACAAGGCAAATACACTTTATTGTCTTGTCTTTAAAAAAGAACCAACAAAGTTAAAATATGCACTACACACTGCTGTCCTGCCTGGTCCCCTGGGTAATACCTGATATTCCCAATAGTCTCCCATCGCAGAAAGATCCCCTGTTTACAGCTTCAGAGACCTGACAGGACTGACCCTCAAGATGGTACGTTTTTGTTTACTTTTCCAGCAAATGACATGAAATATGAAAGTGCACATTTGCCTGTAAAGTCTGGGCTCCTGCTGTTTGGATCAATGGTGCATCAACATCATCATAAGATCAGCCCGGCCTCCATATTCTCATGCCTGTTATAATGATAAAGATTGACTGGTGTGTTGTGTGAGTGTGCCCTCAGTGTAGTTGTACAGTGTGTGAGAACGCCTGCGGATGAATCTCAGATAGCATCATGACTGTGCTTCACTGTGCTGAATACAGCCTCTATCGCTTTAATAACACGATTCAAGTGAGACAACCCAATCACCACACTGTCTACAGACCAATCAATTACGAGAAGAGAGATGAGACGCCACAAGCCCAGATCAGGGCTACACACAAATCTGAGCAATTTATATACAATTTAAAGATTTGATGGATTGGACACGCACAAATCGCCTCGCCCACGAATTTAATTGTCTTGGGTGATTGCATTATCCACATTGTCAGATTGTTTTCAACTTTTTTATATTTACTTTGGCACATTCTCAAAGCAAGCAAAAAGTGTACATTGTTCCAAAAGTGTGGAATAATTAGCGGGAGATCATTTCGTGGATGAATAGAAGACGTCAGGCCAATCCACGTTTTGATATCGAGAGGAGGAAATGACAGAGCTCAGGGACCCAGCTCCTCCACTCACTTTAATTTGGGCAATTTCAGAAGTTATTAATCATGCATGGCTTCTTAATGTAGCGGGCAGGAAATCCGTAAGAGCGGCTGAGAGATAAACGCTTCTCATAGAACATTTATGCAGTGCTAAATAATCTCATATACAGAAGGTCTGACGAGGCCCTTCTACGTCAACATCTCCAGAGATCACGTCTTTCAAAGGAACTTCTCATTGTATTTCCTGTGTCTAACTTGGAGAAATAAATAGAATTGTCATCATACAATAGTATAATGAAATTCAGAGCAGCTCCGTTAAGGTGCAAGAATCAACAATTAACAAATAAAACAAATGAACAGTTCTCATTCAGTATGGTGACAGCTCTGGGGAAGAAGCTGTCCCTGAGTCTGTTGGTCGTAGCTGGAACTGACCTGAAGCACCTGCCAGAAGCAACAGTTTGAACAGGTGAATCCAGGGTGTGTATTGTCTTGAATTATTTTCCTCGCTCTGCTGAGACAGTGGGAGTTGTATAACGTGGTTAAAGAAGGCAGAGGGCAGCCAGTAATGTCCTGAGCAGTGTTGGTGACCCTCTGCAGACACTTCCTGTCAGCTTCTGTGCAGCTAAAGCCACACTGTCACAGCAGAGGTCAGCAGGTGACCATTGGTGGAAAGATAGAAGGTCACCAGCAGCTTGTGTTTAGTTGCTCCTTCCTGAGCACCTCAGGAAGTGCAGCTGCTGCTGGGCCTTTTTGACCAGTGCTGAGGTGTTGACTGACCAGGAGAGAGCCACAGAGATGTGAACCCCAAGGAATTTGAAGGTCTCCACTCACTCCACACTTTGGTCGTTGATGTACAGGGGGGCAGGGGTGGCTCTGTTCCACAAAAGTCCAGGATGAGTTCCTTAGTCTTGGTGATGTTCAGTGTCAAGTTGGTAGTTGCACACCACTTGCTAAGTTTCATTAGAAAGTTTCATAGAAAAGAATGAAAGTGTGAGTTTATTGTTTTGAAAATGCTATATTGCTCTGAGTCCTCCCTCCTTTGCTCACTCCCCCTTCAGAGCGCCATCAAACCACTACGAGTGTGTATTCTGCTTATGAAACTACTTAAAGTTCAAAGTTCAACTTTTTGTCAAGTTCTTCACATGTACTAGACATACAAAGGAATCAAAATTATGTTTCTGTCTATCCCATGTGTAGACAATGATGGGTAGAGCTAGAGGTCACTCAAATCATAACACCATTCAACTACTGCATATCACATCAAGTCTGTCATTGTACTGTATTGTTTTGTATCCTGCTCTTGAGTATTTATGAAAAAATTGACACACAGGAGCTTGGGGGACGCAGACTTGTGGGCTGAGACTTGTACAAGAACATGGCTCATATGTTCCCTCCATAAGGACGGTCTGAATAGGGTCCAGGAGAGATTGCTAGATTACTGAAAAATGCATGGATGACATCTACGACCTCTTCAGGCATGACATCACAAGGTGGAACAGAATGTTTTCTTTTTGAGAGAAAAAGTCAGTCTAAATGTGCAGGGTTTGTGTGTTAAACATATGTGAATGAAACAAAACACAACTCCAGGTTTGTTTGTGATGAGGAAACTACATTATAACTTAGATCAGTGTAGAATTGGTCCTTTAACTTTAAAAATTAACTTATAAGACAATATGTCCTCCAGCTCAGTGTTAATCTCTAGTGTGTTATGATGAAATGTGAACACAATCTAAAGAGCTCTAGATCAAACAGCCCAAATTTAGCATTACTGTCCAGATATGCAAAATTTTCAAAGCAAAAAACATTGTGAAGAAATTAACAAAAGAGCCAAGGAACAACCCCATAAGTCATTTCTTTTGAATAAATGCTTAGTTTAGCATTTAACATCTAACAGTTTCCGTTGCTTTAATGTTAATGTTAGTGATGCTCTATAAGATTGAATTCTCTGCAGAGATCATGACGATTCACTAAATAATAAGCATGAGCACATGTTACATTTGTGGAAACAGAAGAAGTTGGAGCTGCAGGCGCCGTGTGCTCCTGCTGTCACACTTGGGAGAATCTTTGTTTGAAGCTGTATTTTTGGGTGAGCAGAGTGTGGCGCTCTCCATGGTGCTGAACAGGGCTGGGCAACATGGCAGTACAAACTGAACTGTGATCTGAGTCCTGTGATGATCTGCTATTTTGGTTAAATCTATGGATCACATTTTTGAGCGCATACCGATATCTGATATTTGGCCTGCTCCTGAGGCCTATAAATGATAATCTTAAGATGATGTAAAGAGCAGTAATTAGCTTTTCTTTTTTGTCCAGTAATATAAGACTCTTCCATTTCCATTTGGACTCATTAATCTGTTCAGAAAGGACGCACAGAAAATGGGGCAGTGAAAAAAATATGATCAAATATAAGGGTACTGCAGCTTTCTAACCGAAGTCAGCAGATTAGTTTCTTTTATTAAGTTGTTTTAGATGAATATTGTGATTTAAAACATAATGATAGATTATAACTATAGCTATTACACAAGTACAGTACGTCTGCTTTTAACCCTAGGAGGCTTCACAAAAACACCGTGCATTGAGTTGCGTCTGTGTCCTGGTAGGATGTGTCTGACAGGTGCTGGTACCTTGAGCTGCTCCAGGTCAGGTCGCTCCATGCTGACCACAGCGGCCAGCAGCTGCTCCTCCAGCCCGTCTCTGGTCACGGTGAAGTTGATGAGGGTGCACTGGGCCTGCAGCTCCGGCTGGTAGTGAGGACTGGCCAGTTTAGTGTGCAGAATGAGCCGGAAACGAGGGTTAAACTCACACTCTTTGTCTCCAATCTTTATGCACCTGAGAAAGAGAGAAACAATTATATAAATGACCTTACTGTGCAAAACTAACTCTTGTGAGCTTTAAGTCGTGTTATGATGTTACCTCATTAAAAACAGACCTGGAGTTGTGTTTTGTTTGAGTAATCCTCCATTATTAGTCGGTCTATATTTCCAAAGCTGAAAATGCTCTTTTCCACATTGTGATGTCATGAATCGGTAGTTTTCAGGTCCTTTTACCTTTTATTTTACCAGTTCCAGGGCTGAAATTTTCCAAATGATTTTATGATTTTAGTTTTAAAACGCAGTGGAGCTCTTCCTGTATTACTATGTGCCATCATAAGGTGGAACAGAGTGTTTTCAGTTTAAGAGAACAACTCAGCTGAAATCTGCAGGGTTTGTGTGTTAAACATGTGTGACTGAAACAAAACACAGCTCGGTATGTGTTTAAACTAGTGCTGTCAATTGATTCAAATATTTAATCGCGATTAATCTCATGAATGTGATAGTTAACTCACGATTAATCGCATATTAATCAGACATTTTTGTCCCTTGAATGATAATTTTAATACTCTTATCAACATAGAAAAGTGGATAGGCTTTGTGTAACCGTGTTTGTCTGCCCCAACACTGCTGTACTCAGGTTGATGATGTCATCACACAGCGCTGTTTGTTTACATGTTGCACAGCAGAGCTATAAAGCAGAGAAAATAAGTCCAGCGGCAGAAATATCTATTAAATAGTGAGACAGACTTGAGTCCCGCTGCGATACACACTCCTCGGTGAGTTTATGGACATAATAACAGCTTGAAGCAGTGAGAACAGCCGGAAGAGAGTCTGCAAAACGTCTGTCACTATCACAGTCTTTATCAAAGGTCAGTGTGGATTCATCATATGTTCTGGAGCGGACTTTATTTATTTGGACCCCAGGAAGAATAGTCTTTACCTGAGTAAAGACTAATGGGGATCCAATAAATAAATAAATAAATAAATAAATTTCAAGTTTTCCTTGTATGAATAACATCAGCGCACCTGACAGGGTTTCTCAGTTTTGTAAAAAAATAAAATAATAAAAAATTTTGCTTCCTCTTTACAGCCGGATCCTGTAGTTTTTCTAATGTTACAGCAGTGGCCATAGCTTATGAAAAAAACTGGTTTGCGATAAAAAAAAATAAATAAATAAAATGAGCGCCAATAAAAAAGTTTTGTGTTAACTCATGAATAACATGATATTTTTTTGACAGCACTAGTTTTAACAGATCAGAAAACAGTGTGATATAGGTTTGGGCCTGCCACTCTCTATTGAGCAAAAGCTAAAAGGGGGCTGTTAACTTGACCACTTCATGACATCACATGGTGGAACCGAGCATTTTGAGCTTTGGAGATGTAGACAGACTAATAATAAAGGATTACTTAAACTCCAGGTCTGTTTTTGAGGCGGTAACAGTATTATAAGATGTCTGAAAGCTCACAACAATTAATTTAGTGTAATATAAAAGCTTTAAAATCTGCATTTGTGATCTGTCCTTTGTAAGTTTATATTTATTATTGCAATCAGAGACTAAAATTAAAATGTAAAAGTTCTGTGAAAATGGTTGAAAGAAAGTCAAACACAGTGGAACAGCAAAGGCGCTCGCTGCTTCTTTATCTGCACAGCTCTGAAAACGCCTGTGGGTGCACACAGTGTTCTGACAGGGGACAATAACTCCTCCTGTTTAAATGATGCATATGAAATCATTATTTGTTTTCATAGAGGACAAGGGAACAAAAACAACAATTACTGTGAAATTGTATTCATTTGTCCGGGTATGAATGGGCCCATTTAAAGGAAGTGTCGCATCATAATCATTTGATAGCGGCTATTAAAAGAAACACAACAGGAAAAGACAGAAAAATTAAAATACAATATGCCAATTATAGCACATATAGTACTGCATCAGCCCCATAGTAGTTTAAAGGTGATTTGTTTGTACATTACACACTTAAAGCACATGGGGTCATTATTTATTTAGTTGGGACATACTTTTAACAAGTTTGCATGGGAGTAGTTCAGTGGTCAGAGGGTATTATACAAACTCCCATGTTATAGCATTCCCTCATCAGAAACTGAATCAGAAAATGTTTGAAGAGCATTTAGATGTCATCCATGTATGTCTGCATAATCTAGTGATCTCTCCCGGGCCCGATACTGATACTTGGCAGTGATGTCACACAGCCAAAAGAGTTTTAAGATTGTATGAAAACACAGTATAAAACACAAAATGGATTTAAATCTCACATTTTCAGGAGGATCAGTCTGAGTGCACTTGTTTAGGAGCAAGAGTGATTAACTGTGGCCCTGTCCACACTAGTACGTATTCGAGTCATTTTCGTTGCGGATGCAGTGTTCGTTCACACTAATCTGATTGAAAATGGCTCCAGAGATCTGGTGCCGCCAACTCCCAAGGACTCATTTAAGAACAGATCTGATCCGGGACTGTGTGGACGCCTGAAAACGCTGATACTCTGATGTAGGTCTATGTGCCACAAAGTACAGTTATCCCTCGCTGTATCGTGGTTCACCTTTCGCAGGCTCGCTGTTTCGCGGATTTTTTATTTATTTTTTTTTTTTTTACAGTGTATGAACGTGCACTGTGTTTCTCCCCCTGCGTCCTGATTGGCTAAGAGACTGCAGACAACTGTCAGTCCATCTCCTCTGTGCTGTGTCTCCTGTACAGTACAGAATGTGTTCAGCTCACCAAATTTACATAAATGTTTGATCACTAGCAATGTGATTCTGAAGTGCAGCGAGATCGGGCAATTGCCGCACTTACAGTACTATGAAGGGGGGAACTCTGCGTTGGTCCTTTCTACTGCGAGCCTGTCTCGACAGTGAGTCCTGGTTCAGTTCTGTTTAGTCCAGGTTTAGTCCTGATTTAGTCCTGATTTAGTCCTAGTTCATTCCTGGTTTAGTCCTCTTCTTCAGTCCTGGAATCAGTCCTAGGTTAGTCCTGGGTTAGTCCTGGTTTAGTCTTGGTTCAGTCTGTGGCGTAGGCAGCACAAAAGTTTGATATAATCTCGGGTTAACGGGCGGGTGTGGTGCTGTACTGTGTGGGTGCAGGACTCTGCGCTGTAGGACTGACCACGCCTACAGGAAGTAACAACAGCTCTTCAAAAAGAACCCAAGAAGTAAAAGTACATAAAAAGACAAAATGAACATCTTTGGTTTACTTTATGGTCAAATTGTATTAAAATCAAACTCAAGATTAAAGTCTAACAGCTTCAGACAGAGCAGAGGTTAAAGTTAGTATCACACCACCAGGGAATGTTGATGACGTCAGCTGCAAAGTATCAATTCAAACCCGCAAGTCTACACCGCCCGCAAGTCTACACCGCCCGCAAGTCTACACCGCCCGCAAGTCTACACCGCCCGCAAGTCTACACCGCCCGCAAGTCTACACCGCCCGCAAGTCTACACTGCCCGCGCTCCCACATGACAATAGTGGTACATGGTGATCTAAATATGTTACATGTCCGCTGTTATTAACTTTTAGAACAAAAATACACTCTCACCAATCAATACTGACTCAAACCAGTGAATAAAACAGACACGTCTCTGGGGCTGTGCACTTACATTTTAACCAAAACTCCCCAATTATCGGTCCAACATTTTGCTGGTATTTTTTTCTGTACTGTCGTGGTCTCTGTGTGCCCATGTGTCATTCACAGTTTGACTTCAGTGCACCTTTTTGAGCAGAGTGAATGAGTGAAAATGTGAGTTTAAATCCAAAATAAATACAAATACACAAGTGATGTTTGTTGTTTGTAATTGTGAACTTAACTATAGTGTAAAAAGACCTATTCTATTTAAAATTTGTTCCTGAAACTTTAGAAACTGCCAAGTTATGAAAATATTTCACTGAATCTTGCATTTTAAATGTGCTTTTGGACTTTTGCGTTATGAATATTAGTTAACTTGTGGCTGGTTAACCTTCACAATGCCATTGAGCTCTTAAAATTTTTTGAAAAGTCAATGAGAAAAATGAATGAAAAACTGACTGGATGTTGAGCTCCATTATTAGAGATGGTTTGAGTCAGCCCTGCTTCTGTCAGTCTACCCAAGGTCGGCTATGGATACAGAAGTAAATTGTAGCTTTTCTTTAATGCTTATTCTCTCAATTCTTGATGAATTCACATGAAATGGTTTTCACTTCACAGCTGTGCCACATCAGGGTCAAGATATGCCAAAAGTGCAAAGCCGGGCTAACAGCAAAGGGTAAAGGCTATTTTTAAATATCTTGGAGTTATTTTGAGTGTGTGTTGTTCATAGTTGTGATGCTTTCAGTGAAATCTACAGTGTAAATAATCATGAAAATAAAGATGAAACTTAAAAGAAAAGTGTGTCCAAACATTTAACTACTTGTGTATGTAGCACACAGAAAAGGCTTTGATTGGTGAGAATAAGCTCCGCCCACCTGCCCTTCTTGATTGTCTCTCGGCCTAACAGTGGCCCCAGGACCGGATCCATAGTCTCCTCTATGTTCTCGATGAGGACAACGTCTCCTGCTGCCAGCGCCCGCTCGATGGCATCCAAGTATCTGTCAGAAAGATGGACAGTCACAAAGACCCACAACATCACAGAGGACACAGAATCTGGAGGGTTTGGAGGTAATACAAATAAAAGCTCATGATAAGGTGTAGTCACTGCCAAAAAAACCACAAGATCCTCAATAAATGGATTTATAAAAAAGAGTAGAGTGGCCGACTATTCTGCAAAATGGACTTTTTAGAGCTTTTAACTCTTATAGTTGTTTCCTTTCAATAGTTATTCACCTGAACTTCTAAAAAGTTCAAAATCTGCAGTGTGCCATCCAGAAGAACATCCAGACATGACCATGGCAACCAGAGAATCAGTCTTACATGTTTTCCCTCATAGAGTATATAATAAATAATTAAATAATATACTCAAACTAATTTGTCCAGACAGCAGAGCATTCCTATCAAATTCTAACTCACTTGATTGAGATTGCATTCCAGATCTGAGACTAAATTCTCCTTCTATTATAATGAACAAAGTCCACATTCTCCCTGTCACCCAGAGTCGTCTGAGCTGCTCAGAATGCCTGGGTTCTGCACAGTCTGGAGGCAGCAGAGTTTTGAAGTGATTAAAAGTTAGCGCAGACACTGAGTGCATAGTTAAGAACGAGTTTAACATGCTGTGGGCTGCCACTGAGTACGAGCAGTGAGTCCCCCAAAACCTGCCATGCTCCACAGAGAGAGAGAGGAGCAGCCATCTGCTGTGAGACAGGCCTGGAGGAGACAGGGACAGGGCAGGGGGGATGTGTAATGCTCCTCTATTTACACTCCGATTCACTAATCTGTTCTAAAAGAACACAAAGAAAATGAGGCGCAAAATCAGCGCAAAAAAAAAAAAAGTATCCAATATGAGTATCGAACACCAGCGACAATGCAACATCTTAAATCACAAAAGAGGAAAATAACATAAAAGCAGGGGCGTATATGGACATATTTGACCTGACAGTGCTGTGGCTCCTCTCTGGACCTGCTGCTGTGAGTCTTGTCATTTTACCTCGTCAAAATGTCCATATTAACCCGCTCTACATGATCCTGGGGTTTCATTTCTCTATTTTGTCCTGAGGTCGCTCCTGCAAGTGTTCGCGACAGGTTTGATTGACAGGGTTACTAAACACCCACACCCTTCCTTTCGCTCCTGATTGGCTCCGGGTGACATGATACTCCAAATATGGAATTCAGCTCCAAATTCTTCCCCAGTACTACTAGCCTCAACGAGCTTCATTTGGAGCTGAGCGCTGTGGGTGAAGTCACTCTCCCTTAGTCTAAAAACATTCATTTGGTCTTCTTATGAACATTAACTTTTTTTTTTTTTTTTAATACAGTAAAATAAGAGGTGTATTCATCTTGTTGCTGCTGTTACTCTCCCTTAGTCTACTTCTTTATACAGTATATGTATATGTACATGTATATGTATATTTATATATATATATATATATATATATATATATATATATATATATATATATGTATATATATATATATATATATATATGTATATATATGTATATAACCTTTTATAACTACTGAAATCACAGTAATGATTAGTTGTTTCTATTGTATTGTTCTATTTGGACCTATTATAGTCCTGGTATAAATCCAGTACAGACAACATCATGCTGGGGGTATTCTACATGTATGTGTATGGTAGAATGTTCAGCAGTTACATTGTCAGACATTAACAAACACTGCCAAAAACTCTGAAAACTACAAATGTGTAGTAACTTTATGGAATACCTTTATTTCTATTGTTTCCTCCCTCAGTGCTGTTGGTCATATGGCCAGGCAGCTAAAATCCACCAGAATGCAGGAAATGTTATTGGCTCAAGTGTTGGTGGGGAAGGACAGCCCTTTTTGTGCCAAGCCTCAATGAGCTATGGCCTCCGTCTGGCATCCTTGGTACAAATGTTCTGGCTGCACCACTGCAGCACAGGGAGCCTCAACACAAATCTGTTTGGTGACAAGTCTCTTGCTTTTAAGTGTTATATATGTCGGCTTTACTTCAGGAGCCTTTGTCCTTGTGTCTGCTATAGTTAAAATCATGGATCTTTGTTATAATTTGAATCTCATACTCCATACTCTGTCCCTCTGACCACCACCACTCACACACCAAATTCACACTAGGCAAGAGGAGTGAAGTTTCTTGCCAAAGGACACAACAACACTGCAGCACCTGCGGTCCTCCCTGTCTCCAATACTAACCAGCCTAACAGCGCTTAGCTTGTGAGATCAGATGAGACTTGGACCTGGCACAGTGCTATGACCTCTGGTGAGTGTGAGTGAATGATGAGCAGGGGTGTGTATCGGTTATCGGGGGTATATCAGTGGATTTCCCCAAATATCGGTCCAATATTGAACAGACAAAGTAAAGTTAATATGTAAACTTCACTACAGATTAACATGCATTCGGTCTGTATTATAGATTTTAAAGGCTTAATATCGCTATTGACAAATATCGGTTATCATCCACAACAGCAAAGACAAATATCAGATATTGGTATCAGCTCAAAAGCCCATATTGAACCATCTTTAATGGAGCTCAGCTGTGCCAACCCTAGATGAGCTCTGGCCTCCCTCTGGCTGCACCACCACAGCACAGGCAGCATCAGAACAAATCTGGTTAGTGCCAAGTCTCTTGCTTTTAAGTGTTTTATAAATATAGACATTACTTTAAAACATACCATATTAAGTCAGACTTTTATTCATGGTTTGGTTGGTCCTGAGACTTATACTCCAGTGTGAATTATATATTAAAATGTTCACTCTGACAGCCTCAAGAGGGCGCTCTAGTCTTGTGTGTGAGTATGTGCTGCTCCTGTTCCTCCTGTACCACTGTCACTTCACTCTACTGCACATGTCTCCTGCAGAAAGAGCCTCTGTTCTGTCTGTATCATGTCAGTCGATCGCACCATTACTTCTGCACCACTGAACAATTTTAAACTTAAGTGACTTCAGTGACACTGAAACCATCCTGTCGGGATTCAGAAAGGCAGAAGAGGAAGCGGCGCTCTGTTTACCTCCAAAGGTCGAGGCCGAGTTGTTCAGAAGTGACACCGAGGATGAAGAATTGAATGGATTTAGTGATTTGGAGTGAGATGGAGAGTTTGGTAAACTTGTTCTGTTGTTTATGTTATAGTTATCTGAAGAACTGTTCATATGTGATGTTCACAGCCTGTTGTTCTCTCTTCTATTCTTATTACTAGAACTTGACTTTCAACATGAAATATAAGTTTTTTTCTTCTTTATTATGCATTTTTTTGGCTGGTGCAACTTATACTCTGGAGTCACTTATAGTTCAAACACTACTGTACTAGTATTGTACTGTGAATCTATAATCTATGACACCTGTAGATCAATATATTCTGATTTACATATTTGAAATCACAATATTCATTGAAAGTAAAGTGAAGAGAGAAGTTTGCTGACTTCTGTTAGAAAACTGTGGTGTCCAGTGGGAGCTGACATCGCCATAAACATCACAACAAAGGACCACATGCTGTGGCCCCTCCTACAAAGAGCTGCACATCACACTAGCGAGCAGTGGATTATTTTCATTTGTATCAAAATGCAGACACTGCTGAATCCTACGTGTATCACTGATGAAGAAAATAACATTGGCAAACAAAGTAAGTACAGAGCAGTGGGCATGTGCCAGTGACGGTGAAAACCAGGTCAGATTGAAGCCATGACATCCTGAATATAGAAGTATAAAGATCATGCTAAATACTTCTAGAAAGTAAATGAGAAGGGGAGACAACTATAACATGTTTAAAAGCTCTAAAAAGTGGATTGCACAGTGGGTCCAGCTTAAGTTCTAAAACAAATACAAATACCAAGGTGAATAAAGTGGGTCTTTAAAGGGCTCATATTACACACCTCAAGTTGTGTTTAATGTCATTCACACATGTTTAAGACACTCCACCTTGTGATGTCATGTAGTAATTCAGGAAGTGCTCCATTGTGTTTTCATACTCAATCATTTGGATAATTTCAGCCTTGCCATTCTCTATTGAACAAAAGGCAAAAGGTAAAAGTTTTTAACTTGAAAACTACAACTTGACATCACAAGGTGGGACAGAGTATTTTGAGCTTTGGAGATGTAGACAAAATAATAAAGATTACTCAAACATGTGTGAATGAAACAAAACAGAACTCCGGTTATGTTTTTGAGGAGGACACAGCTCGCAGTAGTCAATTTTGCGTAGATGGACCCTTTAAAGACCAAAACAAAGCACAGCATGTGGTCTTTAACACTGTCTGTATGGACCTACCCCCTCTGGCCGATGCGGATGACTCTCAGACTGTCTCCGTATCTGTTCTTCACCCACTTGATGCCCTGCAGTTGGGGGTCCACCATGAGGGGCCAGCGCTGGCACGAGCTCAAGATGGTGGCGTTCTCTGTGGACATGTGGTCGGCAGGCAGACCCTGGTTCTGCCAAGCCGCCACGTCGGCATCGTCCGTCAGCATGGTCAGGGGGTCCAGGTCAGGGGTCACTGGGATGGGCACCTGATGTACAAAGAGTAGATCACAAAGATTATTCGTTCAAAATTAAGAGTACGCATCTTAAAGGTGTCCTAAGTGACATTCCTGGTGGAGGTATGGCCACCAGCTTGTCTCCATGGAGGTGTTATTGCTTTGCTTGGAATTTTCCACAATATGGCATTAAACTTGGCTATCTTGCATTCATTCATTCATGAAAACTCCAAAACACATGCATTCTTACGAGTGGGCACCCCTTTCCACGGATCTGAGGAGAGGGGTACCATTTAATAATAATAATGGAGATATATGCATTTAATACCAAACTCTTGAACATTCCAAGCAATCCAAAAAAAAGTGACTGACCCTTCATAGAAAACATACACAGGGCATATTTAGCATCAGCAACAGTAAAAACCGTCTCAAGTCAAAATATTTCCTTTTTGCAGTAAAATTAAATGAAGTAAAAACATTATCCAGCTTTTACAAATCAAAAATATTCAAAGCAAGATGCATATTCTGAATTTCAGCCAGTTTAAGAAGGGTATGGGGTATTAATTAGATAAGATGAATTAGATCATCATTAGATCACATTTTATTGTTTTGAAAATTCTATATTCAAATGAAAATTTAATATTAACAAGTTTCCGTTTTGAAAGTGTGCACCCGCTAAAGGAGCCACTCTCAGGTTTACTGAGTTGAAGTCTAGTGTTTTGTGTCCTGCTTTTGTATATTTAGATATGGAGATCATGTTTATACTGTATACAAACTCTTCTGGCAGTGATTTTGGGCTCAGAGTTTGGAGGAAGTGAAGATGATGTGAAAAATACAAGTGATTAATGATGCATGTAACATACTCTGATGGAGAAATATGAGCTGTGTAGGACCAGGCTCAAGCTAATGGTGGTAAAGTTGAATGAAACTGGACTGAACACCTCCTGCAACAGTCATCTGAGGCCAAAGTGTGAAAAGTGTATGTGACGAGGACACTGTGAATGCTGTGAGTAATGTAATCCAGTCTGATGTACTCTAAGAAATGGTTCTGTCCATACGAATAAAAATGATGTGTTACATTAACACTTTACAGCCTCACTGAAGCCTCTCCGAGCTCCACTGGGTCATTATTCATTCACTCCTCACTCTGCGCTGCTAAGCTCCTGTTGTCATACAGCTGCCCTCAGGTCACCCTGGGGAGACACTGGCTCAGGAGAGGAGTGGTCTCCTAACCTAAAGGTCAGAGGATTCCCACACAAAGCAAGTTCTGTTGTGTCCTTAGGCAAAACACTTCATCCACTTTGTCGAGTATGAAAGGGATGTGTGCGTGAGTGTTGGTCGTGGTCAAAGGGGCCGATGGTGCAGATTGGGAGCCTCGCTTCTGTCAGTCTGTCCCAGGGCAGATGTGATCATGATGTAATGATATCTGAATCTCTCCGTAAGATATGTTTATCACAGGGGTGCTCAATACGTCGATCGCGATCTACCACTCGATCGCCAAGGTCGTGTGGGTAGATCGCCGTGTCTCGTCTCGGACTCGCGTTTGGACTCGGTCTTGTCTCTCACTCGAGGTCTGACACTCAACAAGTGCGATCATATTTCATTACAGCCGCTGCTGTTGGTAATAAACTTGTAGCGGGTGCAGGAGCGTGTGGGGCGTCTCAGTGCAGCCTGTGCGCTCATTTGAAACCCGCGGAGACTCTACGGCACATCACAAACACACACGCTCCCTATGCACGGCTCGTCTGCAACAGCGTGTGCCCTCGTGTACCAGCGTGCATCACAGGGCAGGTTCAACTTCCTAAACATCCTACCTGTCCATCTGCCTCACGTCAGCACGCCGCCCCTCGCCTTTTCACGCTCTCGCTCCTTCCTGCGTACAGCCAACACAAGCCCCTCCCACAGTGCGGCTGATTAGAAGAGCAAGACCAAACGTGAAGCAAAAACCAGTCTAAATTTGTGTTCCAGTGTTGGCACAAAGCAGGTCTACAGCATAGAGCGGATCTACAGAACAGACCTACTGTCACATTTGGCTGAAGTTTGTCTAACAAAAGTGCACAAATGCATCTGTGTTTGTCACGATGTGCGTTTGGTTTGGTAAATGTGCAGAGGCTGGTAAATATCACTGCAAAACCAGAAAAGAATGTAACTCCAGTTTGGAACTTTAAAAAAACAGGTTTAAAAATCTTCCTTCACTTTTTTCACAGTTTTGTGTAAAGTGCCAGAGGAAGTTCTCTTAAAGAAGAGGTTCTCAAACTGTGGGTGAGGGTCCAAAAAAGGGGCACAGAGTGTTTCAGTGCAGTTTGCTTGGTTTTGTATTAGGTAGATCATTTTGACTTGGTCATTTTGTAAGTAGCTCACATGCTGAAAAAGTGTCAGCACCCCTGGTTTATCATATTCATCTCATGGTACAATATTTACTGCAATATTTTGTGGAGGCTCACCACATTGTGAATATGCTACTTTTCCTTTTAAAATGCATTGACAAGACTTTGGTTCTGTCATTGGTTCTGACTTAAAAGTGCTTAATAACAGTTATTTCTACATAAAGTCTGCACTGAAACAGAGCAAAGGATCATGGTCTATGTAGTTCCTATCTGTTTTTTAGTTGTTATTGCACCATAACAATGAATTTAAGAAAAAATACTAATTTGATATATTGTGATGGCCCATGATAGTACTGACTTTTGATGATACAATATCACAATATTCTGGTTACTGTTACATCTCTAGTGGTAAATAGTACGGCCAAGAGTGGAGTGAATGTATAATAACTACAGTTAGAGCTCCAAGAGGCTTTGACACCTGTAAAGAGCATTACAAATATAAGGCATTATTATTCTTATTAAACTGACAGAAGCAAGGCTGCCACTGTCCATTTCCAAAAACACAATGGAGTTCAATGTGTTTTTATTGATGAAAATCACATATTCTCACTGCCAGTGGGGTCTCTTCTCCACAGATCTCATTTGTATTGTGTCACTTGCCTGTATTGATACTCTGTGGTGACATCCTGTTGGGGTGTTCTACATGTATCTCTATTAGGGATGGGCATTCGATTAAATTTTCTTAATCGATTGTCGGGAGACTTAACGATTGATTTTTGATTAATCATTAACGTTTCTATATTAAAATGATCATTATTATTACTATCTGCACTATTAATTTGCATAAATAAATTCACCTTCACGACATATAAACTGTAAACACTCTAGAGCCACATCAACCCGTTTGACATTATAATGTGTTTAATGTAACTTTGTGCAAGGCTCACAGAAACAAAACTTAAAACCTCATGGCTAATTTGCATAAACTAAGTGAAAAAAAAACAGCTCTTGTGTCGCTGATGTGGTTCAACTTCTGTCGGACTAAAGGACACGACTCAGGTGAATACAGGTTAGTGTGACCATATTTGCGTTTGTCAAAACCAGGACACCGTACGGGGGGTGGGAGGTGGGGTCTCGTCATCCACATTGAGCTACTTTCACCTGGCAAATTTTTTTAAATTTTTTTCAGTTTTTCAGCTTTCAGGGACAGAAAGTGGAGTTTCTTGTACAAGTCATCGTTAAATGGGCATTTGAGCTTCGGCATGTTGCAGACTGACCGACTGTTTGTGTCTGCTCGCTCCTTCTGAGTCACAGAGCTACGAGAGACGCTCAGTTTAATGGCCCAATGAAAGGTAATGAAAACTCGGACATTTGCATCACTTTATAAAAAAAAACAAAAAAAAAACAGACATGTCCGGGGAAAAATGGACGTTTGGTCACCCTACGCTACACACAGCAACCTGCATTCAGTTTGTCTATTAAAAATGAACGTAATCGACGAAATTCTGAATGATCAACTATCGATTAATCAACTAATCACGCCCATCCCTAATCTCTATGGTTAAATATTCAGCAGTTACCATAGAGACACAAAGCACACAAACACAGTCAACAAGTTTTAAGATTGTCTTGTTGTGTATCAATATATGGACATGGATAACTTTAATATCACACTGTGGAACTTCCCAAAACACTAAGTCATCGAATCGCCATGGAGACAAACAATCCCTTATTAGACCCTTATCAGCCCATTCACTGAAGAACAGTAACAGCTCCTCTGTAAAGTCCAAACGCAGCACAGAGAGAATAAATCTGCAGATAGAAGCTGCTCTTTACTGATCGTTTTGAGGGCTTTTATTGGCTTTCAAATATGAAGGACCTCTCCATTAACTCATCTTTATTCTCATTTCATTTTATTGCTTTAGATTACATTAAACCATTTATAGCAAAGGTGAACAAACCGGCTTCAATAAAAGTCTGCTGACAAAGACGTAGACACAGAGGTATTACGTTGGAGGTCTCAGAGAAGGCCATATTTTATTACTATGCAGAGGCAGAGATGGGGATGTTTTGGCACAAGATCATATTAAAATGGTTGTTATGAATGTATGCACTTTTAGAATATAGACGCAGAATGACTTTAGACTGTATTTATTATATTGTTTTGTATTTGTATTTGTTTTGTATTGTATCAAAACTGATTTTTTGGAGCCTCCGAGGATGTTATGTCATTAACAGTGTTCAGTGTTGGGAAGGTTACTTTGAAAATGTATTCCCCTACAGATTACAGATTACATAGTCCAAATTGTAGTTTGTAACGTAATCCATTAAATTACTTAAAGTGAGTAACGTAATCTGAATACTTTGGATTACTTGATTTGTTGTAGAGAAGCAAAGACGAGGAAATCTTCACATAAGATGTTTTATCTGCTAAAAGAAAATGAAAAGCCCAGACTTTACTGAACCAAATTAAAAATATTATTGATAGAAGAGAAGGAGACATGTCCATGCAGCATGGTTTAGTCCTGTTAAATCCTGTTTTAGTCCTGGTTTAGACCTGGTTTTAGACCTGATTTAGACCTGGTTTAGATCTAGTTTAGATCTAGTTTAGACCAGGTTTTAGTCCTGGTTTAGATCTAGTTTAGATCTACTTTAGGCCTGGTTTTAGTCCTATCTTATTCCTGGTTTACTCCTGGTTTTAGACCT